GGCTGCTCTGCTGCAGGCCCCCCCGATTCAGCCGCTGCTGAAACTGACCAGCAGTGGCTGAATCGAGGACTCCTGGGGCAGAGACGGACTATCAGAAGGGAAGGCTATGAGGGGGTCTGGGGTAGCATCCCCCCACCCCACCCCAGGCCCCTCATAGCCCCCCCTTCTGATAGTCCGGCATATCTGATAATCCAGCACCCCCTGGGACCTAAAGGTGCCGGATTATTGGAAGTTTACTGTATATGTAAGTCCCATTTCTTTTGACCCTACAGAATCCTGCTGTGAACCTGAATGTTTGATATTGTTTAGTGTGCTGGTAAGATGGCAAGTTGTACTGTTTAGTAATGGTAAGATGGAGATCTCCTAATTTTAATTTGAATCTCCCAAGCACTGCTGTTGCCTTAATTTGACTTATTCAAGCAAGAGACTTGAGGACCTCCTAACTATTTTTTCTTTAGTCATGTTTAAAACTACTGACTGTTTAAATAGCAACATTTTGGGCGGTAAGGAAACATCGCAGCCCATCTAGATTCCTCCACCGACCTGTCTGCTTTGCTACCCTGTAATGATTTTTTATCCCCAACTGCCTGTTTCATTTCCACTTCTGTTTTGAATGTTCCCAGTTACATCAGCCATTCCTCTCTCTGATTGCACCTGTTCTACATGCTAAGTACTCCTGAACTCCCACAAGTCCCTGCTTTTATATCTGCAGGTCATGCCCCATGATACAGTCGAACCTATGGTGCATCCTACACTTTAATTTAAATCTGAATTAGATTAACAGCAACCTATTCTGGGCAGCTGGTACTGTTTGCATTGTTAGAGAAATGGATGGCAATTGTGGTTTGGCAGTGCGTGGTTTCACTGCTATTTCCTTTCTTTACCACTCCCGCCTCCATGTTGTAGCCTGTTCACCTTCATTCTAGACAAATAACAGAGGATGGCATTCCTCCTACTGCCCATCTGCATCATGCTTCGATCAGTCAAAGGTCACTGCTGAGTGGTGAGAGTATCCCCCTCCCTGCCATTATCCTACCTGACATGAAGTGCTTCACAACATTTGCAAGCTTAGACCTATGTGTGAAAGTTAAATCAGTATACATAAGGTGGTTTTTTTAATTGGTCTAATTAAATTGGTACAAAAGGCTATATACACATGTTCTTAGTCTGGTGAAAACCTGACTTATTTTGGGTTAGCTTTAAAACAGTTAGGAATCAATTTAACTAAACCAAAATAAGTGTGTCCACACAGGGCTTTTCACAAGTTTAATTATATTTCTTTTTAAAAGAGAGTGAACATTTAACATCCAAGCAATGGTACTGTGAGATTTCTTGATGTTCATCACTACTGCAAGTTCCTGGAATCACTGATTCAGTCAGGAGTGCAAATAATTTAAAAATCTTCCCTGTTCAGGGCCCTGGCTCCAGGCCCGCAGAAGGGATGGGGCCTCAAGTGGAAAGGGTGGGGCTGGGTTGTCCATGGTAGTGCTGTGATTATTGCCATGAGTGAGAAAACTGCTGTCAAATGGGAACAGTTGAAGGGGATGGGTATATTGTGAAGTCTGCGAATTCTGGACCTGGATTGCCCCTAGGGTTGCCAGATGGTTGAAACATAAATACTGAAACCTCCTCCCCCCCCCCAAAAAAAAGAGAAAAAAATTCTGTTGGGCAGAGGAGACATCTCAGGTGTCCGGTATTCTCTGATTTTTTTTTTACCGGACAGTAGGGGAAAATACTGGACTGTCCTGGTGAATACCGGAAACCTGGCAAAACTAATTGCTCCCCATCCTCCTTCTCCCTATTATTTCTTTCCTCCTTCAGCCTTAGGTGTTATGGGTTGTGAGTAATATGAGGTGAGGGATTTTTGCAGGAATGTATTAGTGTATCCTTTTGTCTTTTCCTGTTGTCCCCGCATATTGAACTTCAGAACATCTGGCTTATGTGTTGCAGTTAATGGGTTAATTTCAGTCCGTGGTTTGGTCAGAAGGACGAATTCATATGTGTTCTTGATAGATTATGTACTGGAGAAAGTAGCCAGAGGGAGCTGCCCTCCCTGGGGTAATAGCTGGTCTACTTTTGCTATCCTTATCAAGGGACAGTAGAGTGAAAATCTCCTGAGTAATCATATGATGTTGATTTGGCAAAGGTGTGATTAAATCAGCTGGTTTAACTGTAAGGGTGCCATGGGACAGAAAGTTGTTGCAAGGGTATTTCTGCTACCACTAGTAGAGTGCTTTTGGGACTAAGCTACAGAAGACTTAACATATTTTGAGAGACCTGCAAATCCATGGATATCCAGCTTTATATCCATGGGTATCCGTAGATGTGGATGCAGATATCTGCTGCTCATTTTTGCGGCTATATATGCAGATACAAATTTTGTATCTAAAAC